CTTGCGGTATCCCCTTATTGACTATGTGATCCCTCCAAGGGCTCCCAGGATATGCAAGGGAGATATTTCTTGTCACTATAAAACTCTGTATCCAGTTGACGAAGTACCAGGGGATCTGATCAATGCCCTCCAATCTATCCAATAACTTGGTGTGGTCTACATTATCGAAACCCCCTTTTATGTCCAAGAAAATTGTCGACACCTTCTTCTTCGCAAATTGTGCCTCTTTGACTCAATATTGAAGCAACACTACCGCATCCACCATAGACCTTTAGGGCAAGCTGCCAGTCTGATTTATGCAGTAGAGACCTTGATCTTATGGGATTTTCATTAACCTCGAGTTCACTATGCGTTCTGCCATCTTAGAGAAAGTCTGCATCAAAGCTATAACCCTGAAGCTCGAGCATTTCCACATAGCTTTGCTTATTTGACTTTGGTAGTATGATACCTGTCGACTGTTTAAGTACCGTGGAATAGATCCCCCATTCCAGCAGATCCTCTATTAGCCTTGGTATTATCTTCTGGTTCACGTTATAGATTCCTTTCCAAACCCCATAAGGTACCTGGTCTGACCCTGGGGCAGATTTGTTGCTGCACCTCCACAGCACCTCCTCTACCTCTTCCTGTATAATCTGATCCTCCCCTCCCAGCCTTTGCCTATTTGAGATGGGTACGGGGACCGAGTCTTCATTCGCGAGGAAGAAGTGTTGCATTATAGCTTCTTCAGTTCTTTCCGGCGTTGTGTTGGCTCCTCCTGACATTCTATTAGGCACTCTCTACCTAGTAAACTGGTAAGCTGTCCACACATCATTCTTCTTGGCGTTCGCTAGGAAGTTATCCCAATGTGCTCTTTTTACAGAATTCAGCGCCTTTCTGTATGCCTTTTTTGCCTTATCTCTCTCCTCTACTCCTGTCCCATCACGCCTCACACACCAAGCAGCAGAAGTATATATCCTTCTCAACTGGGTGATTTCAGGCATCCACCATGCCTTCGACCATTTGGTCGGTTTTTACATCGGTGCCCAGCTTCGAACTCTGTGGATCAGCCTATTCAGGCTAGTTTGAAAATTATCCACCGCCTCGACTGGCTCTAATATCGGTTCGTATCCATTCGGGCCATCTATATAGTCTTTCAAGACCGCCTTAATGACGGGGTTCCACTCACCCTTCTCCATTCGCCATTTAATTTGTCCCCAGTCTGGGGCTGGCCTGGCTAGCTCCACCTCTTCGCTATTAACTTCAGTAAGGATGACTATATAGTCCAAGCTTGTTCTTTGGTACAGATCCCTCCATCTCGCTATCCTCAGCAGCATTGCTGCATTTGTCAAGGAATGATCAATCGTTAAGACCTTGTGCAATATCAGGTTGTCCAGGAACCTGGTGTAGATTCCAGGCGTATTTAGACTATTGTAACCATGTAATACTGCTGTATGCATGTACAGCTCCCCCAGTCACTGTTCTCCGTGACTTAGGTCCCAAAGGGGGTCAGTGAATGCGGTGCGTAAGTTCAAGTCTCCCACCACCATGGTGGGCTCTCGCTCCTCGACAAACAAACTAGCAGGCTTAACCGTGTTGACATCCTCCACCTGTCTATTATAAACATTCAATAAACCAAAGGAAAAACTTCTTCCTACAAGCCGCCTTCCTCTGCCAAAAATTCTTAAATACAATACATCCTCAGCTGCCGGCACTACCACAAAGAAAATACCTGCTAATACTCTCAGGGAAATATATATTGCTACCCTAACCTTAGGGCCATTCTGAAATACACACTCATTTCCTGGTACCCTTAACGGGGCCCTACTATACAGCGGCGGATCCTGAACATATACAAAAGAAACATTAAATCCTTTAACTATGTGAAATAACGAAATAAAAACATCATTGCTCCTCCTGCAATTATGTTGTACAACATTCAACTTCATTCCTGTCATTGTGTTTTGTCCTGATATGCTCGACATGGCCCACCGGTCTAATATTGAGCCCCGACCATACCAACGTCAGCTAGGGAGACCATCCTCTGATCGTATTTTTCTCTTTCTTGCTCTTTGACTTTGACTCTGACTAGGCAATCCTTGTCCTTAGCGGAGTGTGATCCCACACACACTGGATATCTGGCCGGTGTCATTGAACAACAACCTGGTATCAATCTCGTGTGTCCCCGACAGCGCGTTTGTCCACACTTGTGATCTTTTTCGGGGTGCGTCTTGGAACAGATGGGGCAAATATCCACTTTCTTTCTACATCCTATTTTGGGGTGACCAAACTTCCAACACCTCGTGCATTGCGTAGCTGGGGTCGTGTGCCACATGACCCTTGATTCTTTAACCTTTCCCATGAAGACCACTTGCAGCGTAACCTTCCTGGCATCCACCTCCAGCAATCTTAGCATCATGGAGGTAGCTCTTTTTCCTATCCTACTCGCCACATCCACTTTCAGGAACTTGGCCAATGTGAGGTCGATCTTGTATACACTTTTAAAGTATTGTTTAACTTCCGCATCCAGCTCAGTTGGGTCAGATGGAATAGCATCTAGCAGAATGCCATGTACCAAGATGTTGACGTCGGTTAGGACTTTACTGAAAGGAAGATATGCTGGTTCTCCCTCCAGGTTTGTCGCATTCAGCGCCTCAGTCATCTTCTCTAAGTATCTGGAGTATTGTCTGAAATCGGCTCCCTGTGGTACAGTAACCGTGATTGTGCCGTTTATCCTATTCGAAGACACTTGCAAATTGGTTGGCACCTTGCACACATAACCTACCAGTGCATCAGTAAGGGCTATCACTATCCTCGCTTCTTCGGCCGCCGGATAGGCGAGGAGTTTTGCCATTGTTCTCATGGCAAAGATCTTACGCTTGGCCACTGTAGATCCGTTTTGGCGTTTAGGGCTTTCAACCGTTGTCCACTACCCGTCATCTTTGCCCTTGTCCTGTTCCTGTATGTTAGCCTGTTTGGGTACCGGTTGTTTAGATGGGGTGGGACCCTCCTCCGAACTGCCTTTACCCTTGCCTTTTTTCTTCTTTGTCGGGGTCGTTTCCATCTCCTGCTTGGAAGCCGCCTCCACATACATCTTATTCTGTGACTCAATCAGTTTTTTCGCTGGCGGTGGACGTTCCGCTACCTTCGCCACTGCTATGCCTTACTCCCGTACCAAGGTAGTAAGGTTTTGCATCATAACCGTGAGCGCCTTGATCTGGTGACCCTGCGCGATGATCAGGGACATCATAGCGATGCCTTCCGTAGAAAAGTCCTCGTCCTCAGCATTGCCAATGGCACGCATGGCGGGAGTTTGTTTTGTCGGCCCTTGGGCATTGAGCTGATCCATCGTGAGCCCTTTGATTAGATGAAACTCAGGAAGTTTGTACAGTCCAGTCTCTATCTTCTTTCCCTTCGATCCACCAGGAGTGAGGGTCTCCGGTCTTTCGCTATCGCTGTTATCCATACCTTCCGGGGAAGCCATACCCTGAGTTGGCATTGTGGCCATTTTGGGATTATTCGTGTAACCTAACTGGTCTCATTACATGAGAATTTGGAAAATTGTGTACGTGGTATTGAAAAAAGTGCAAAAAGCACTTAGGAGGAAAATCGGAGAGGAGAAGCTTGGTAGTTAGTTATTGGTACAGTACAGTACTTGTACCTCCTTGTAGTACTCGAGTAGAGGATTCTGCTTTGTATGGTCCAAGTACCAACAAGTGTTCGAACCCGTAGTAAGCATCGTAAAAGAGTAGAGAGAGACCAGGGTGTAAGCATGACCAGACGAATACGGTATCATACGAACTGCCGGTACTATCTTACTTTTACCCACGTCCATTCAAATAAAACAATTTCCCACAAGTACATGATCAAGCAAACAGATCTACAACCGCACCCCCAATCCACTCGTACCGAGCGCAGCCCCGGGTCCCTGCCACGCGCCAACTACCGAACACCCAACCACCAAGGCGCCGGATAACCTCACCACAACCATCCATCCATCCATCCATTCGCAAAAGCACAATGGGCGCTGCACTCCCATCAAATCACAAATCCACCCATTTACGAGCTAGAGCACTCGTAACCGCGCACCCACCCCATCAGGTATGCGTAGGCAATACAAAAGAACCTTTATCTTTATAAAAACCCCTGTACGTATGGTAGCACAGCACACCCATTGTTAAAAGCTATTGCCCTAAGGGTAGTAATCGGGCACTTTTGGCGGGGTGAGGCCCAGGGAATAGATAAGGAAAGGGTGTGCGCATGGGAGGATGGTTACTTGTACGGTACGAGTACAAGTAAAGTACTAGTACTCGAGAGCATCGGAGAGGGGATTGGGATGTGGGCTTGGGTTTTACCTATCGAGCCTGATCGTGTGGCCAGAAGGGGAGGAGGGGGAGGGTTCCGCTCGCTCGTCACTTTGAGGGGAAGGGAACAAGCCATGCACAGAGTGGATAAGGTCAAGGCACGTAAAATGATTTCCGAGTCGGCGGAAAGATTCCGTCGTGTCTTGGGCGAGGCTCCCCCCTTTACTTGTACTGTACTCGTAGGTATCGTGAGGCTTCATCCAGAAAGACATGTCTAGACTCCAAAAGCCAACAAACATTCCAGGGGTCTTGGTTGCGGTACCCCGGCACGGTAGTAGATCCAGTTGAGGGGCACAGGCTAGTGTGTGTCTAAAAGATAGAAAGAAGCCTTATTTTAAACTTCAAAAAAAAAAATAAAAAAAAAATACAAGGTTTCCAAGAAGCACAATACGCAAATATCATATCGTGTAACACGTCTTTCCCCTCCCCACTCCCCCTACAATTGCACCGACCGTACCTCCCTCAGTGATCATGCGCACTTCAGCTGTGTTTCCTTTTGCCACCCTCTTTCCTCTCCCGCACATCTAGAGATGTGTGACTGACAGCCATAACAAATTCGGAACCCGACGGGCCGCAAGCGATCGCGGGGTGGGAACATCTATAAGTAACATGCACCCCCCCCCCCCTTCCCCCGTAAGAAAGACCCTACTACGTTTCGGTATCTTTACTCCATTCCCCCAGCGGTATTCGGTGCTAAGGGCATAACTACATACATCCTCACGCACATGCGCACACACGTACGGCACGAAAACCACGATACCATTAGATAAACGAGCATGTCCGCCCCAATAGGCTCCTACGTCCCGCTGATAATAGTGGCCATGGTGACCTGGAAAGTGGCCAACTCTCCATCCACTTCCTCCACCTCTGCCACCTCCGCGTACCGGCAGAGAAACCCGTGCATAAGCGCTTGGGGATCTTCGATATCGGAGCGCGTCTCGGCTAAGAGTGTGTTTTCCCCCTCCTCCTCCTCCTACTTCTCGTCGGGAGGAAGAAAAAAAGGCTAACGAGTGGTGCAGATATCAGACATTCAAGAATCAGAAGTTCGCCGAGGAGTCTTGCGGCGAGTACCAATGGATATGCTGGGCGGGGATCAAGATCTGTGTCGCCGGGTGACGGGAGGATGAGGATGGGTGGGGCAGGGAGTAGGCTTGCGAGCAGGGTTCCGCGCGGTACTCGGGGGCTAGCGGAGGGAGGGAGGCGATAATCTTTGGGGGTGGAAGAGTGGGGGGTTATCGGGCGAACGAATGAACGAATGAACGGAACGGACGAGACGCGCCGGTTAGGAGGATATAATGCAGGATGCGCTACTCTGGACGATTATTATTTCCAACACTCTACCACCAGTTTCTTATGCCCCAACACTCAAGTTTTCATTTTCATTTCCACCTTTTATTTTGGTCTTGGGTTTTTGGCACGGAGTTTTTATGTCATATCATACGGATTTTTTTTTTTTTTTCCCCGTCATTGGTTGCTGGGAGGCGTTATCGGTGATTATTGCAATTCATTACAAGTATCATAGTCTAAATCATTATTATTCTCCCACCGTGCATAATCTCTCACCATGTTTTTCCATCCCCTCATTGCCCGAGTCTTGGATTGCGCGGTACGATATCGTTACAGTACTAGGACACCCACCATCACACAGGTAACATACCCATATTTACCGCCGCCCTCAATGTCTACGCCACCGAACCCCCGGACACCCCGCCAAACCATACTTGTACCAGGGAAATAAAATAAAAAACCCCTCCCATGCCACGCCCGTCACTCATGCAGCGGGAGCAGCCGAAACGCCCCCTACAGGTACCCGCACTAACTATCGCCGAATTGGGCCCGATATGTAACCTGGGAATCACAAACTTGTCACTCGCACATTTACGCGCCTTGTTGGGGCAGAGGTGGGTACTCGAGTATTGGCGTGCGCGCGGGTGATGGGAGGTGATCTATAGGTGATCTATATAATATTATCATAGTATCATACAAGTATTAGTTTGTCTGGCGGGGTAGGTATGAGTGCTGTATATAGTGCCAGGAGTACCGGGGGATATGGTATTTAGATTTCTTGAGTAGGTTTGAAAAGCGGTGTCGCGAGGGGGGAATACCACAGCAAGATAATAATTATTATATAATACTATAGCTTGCAAGCATCAACTACGGTAGTGGACGGATGAGTGAACACGTCAAGTAACCCCCCTTATTCAACGTCGCAGAACAACCGCCATCCTTCATTGCGTTCCCCCCAACAGTCCCTCCACAACTGCCGAGTGACGCCCCTGCACGCAAAGCAGCTTATTATGATATATATACTGCCAATAATATTCCGTATATACAACAATCGCTCCTCCCCCGCCACTAAGTATAACAGCTCTCTTCTGCGACCAATCAATCCCTCAACCAAACCGTCAAACCGTCCTCCATTGAATCAATCCCGGTCAAATCCATCGTAGCTACCACAACTTCAAGCCAGACAAGGCGCATCCCATCACTAGCACAACCAAGGAAGGAAGCAGTTCTCCAACACACCAGAAAAGGGATATCAGTAAATTCAATCTTGCACTCGCTCCCTCCCCTCTTTCACAACCGATCAGACCCAGCATATTGCTACCCATCCACCCAGGCAGGGGGAGCGAGAAAAAAGAGTGACAAGAATTGATACCCCTTCTCAAGAGAACAGGAAGAAAAGTGGAAGAACCAACACAATTACCAAATCAAACACCCAAGTAATTTTTAATTTTCATTCATTTTCCAGAAGGAAAAGAAGAAAACGAAGCAAGATTTGGCAAAAGAGAAGTGTATATGCAAATGAATTTCTCACCACCACCCCGATCTTTCGCGAACGGCTCCGCAGAGACTAAGAGTATGAAAAAAAGGAAGAAAAAAAATTAAGACCCCGGAAATTGAAAGAAAGGGAGAAAGGAGATAGAATAGAACAAAGAACAAGGGGAAAAAAAAAACACCCAGACAATTGTGGAAGAAAAAAAGATGGAAATGGCGGCAATAACAAGGATCAGAAATAACAGAACAGGCCCCGTAATGAGAATAATGCTCGGGAATCAAATACAGAAACAAGAAGAGAAACTACACAAAAGCAATAAGGTATCCCCAACTTTATCCTCAAAGATTCTCCCGCGTGCTGAATGAGAAAAAGTGGCAATGAAGAAAGGAAAGGAAAAGAAAAAACCACAGGCTTCATAGAAGAGAGAATGCCACACGCGCGTTGCACACATACAAAGGAAGAATTGCAATCACTAATAAAACAGAAAAGCTAAGATTAAAAAGGGGGAAGAAACGCGCTTCTAAATAGAAGATTCTCTCTTGGACTACCGCCCCACCACTGAAGAGAAGAAAACTTTAAAAGAAACGAAACATGGAACCGCCCTGTATTATGAGGGAGAATGGAGCAATCACCTTCTCGGTCGTCCGCCCCACCCCCCCTTCTGCCCTCAACGCTCCTCGCTTTTATGCCACGCAATGAAAATATCCATTTCGTGGGCTTTTTGTAAACAAAAAAAAAAGAAATCAATGCTCTTCTCCCTCCCCCCGGATTCTCCAGTTACCCCGAGTAAATCGCATGCCGTCGGGAAAGCAGGAGCTTCTTTAACCATACTTGCCAAAGCACGTGAGCAAACGCTTGAAACTCGGGATCAAACCTCCCGCATATTACCTTTCAGGCGTCCCCCTTGCTACTCCTTGCAACACCCCTTCGCCTGAAGAAATCCATGACCCTTCTTGCCGGGCCGCTGCTGCCACCGGTTCCGCCCGCATCACCTTCGGTGAACTTCCTATTCTTCTGAAGAACGGCAGGTCGTCGGGCAGCATTAGCGTTTCCAGCCCCAAGGTCAATACTCTCTCGAGCATAGTTACCACCAGCTGCCGAAGCAGGGGCGGAGCCTCCTACTGCCAGCGATGTGTCTGAACCAGTGCGGACTGATCCACCTTCACCGGCATTTGGTGCGCTGAGTTGAGGATGCGATGAGGTCTGTGGCTGGGATTTCGAGTTGATAAATTGGCCAACCCGGAGCCCGGATGCGCTTCTGGAAGGTCGACGTTCATGCTTGCCTTCGGATCCACTGCCAGAAATACTCCTGAGGGAGAAGCTTGTAGGAAGAAGACTAAACCTTCTGACTTTGCCTTCCTTCGTCTTTTCGTATTTTGAGCGCCCACCCTGATCCACCGATGGCCTTGGCTCACCCGCACCAGTCATTGTAGGTCGAGAAGTGTTGTCTTGGGAACTAGAACTACCCATAAGTCCACCCAAAAACCTACTCGCTCCGCCGGAGCCAATAGTGTTTGCACGCTTGTGCCCCTTTGCTGACTGTTCGGCGGGCGGAGACGGTCTGCCAGAGTATTTCGTAGGCAATACTGTAGTACTTGGCTTTCCCATCTCGCCCGCACTCGCCGGCGCTCCGATCGCATCGCTATTGTCGGGCTGTGGAATCGGGTTGCTGATAGTATAGGGTTTAGGCGCCTTGGGCATCGCTATCCTCCCTTGAGCATTATTAGCAGCCAAACTGGGCGCAACGGGCCTGGAATAAATACCCCGTGAAGGTAACCGATTAGAATTGATTGAATTTGCTGTATTCGGCCTTGCCGAATTGGAACTGGTCTGTTCAGCAGGAGTGAAGACCTTTCCATTAAATTGTGGCCCAGGCCTATCCCTGCTCGGCCTCCTTGATGGGGGCCCTGAACCCGCACCATCTCCAGCAGTGGTTGCGGCCCTGGCTGGGGCCTGTGGGTGCGAGCTCGAAGGTCTTGTTCGCGGCGGCTGAGCACTGCTTCCCGACGGTTGCGCTAGTTGATCCCGTGGCTTCTGCTGTTGGTCGGAAGACATAGTGCGCTGGTGTCTAGAGGGTATACCGGCAGTTGTGGCGGCCCTCGTGACCCCATCGTTATGCTTGTTAGTGGGGACGAAAGGTGCTGGTGCGGCATCCTCGGAACTGGCCCCCTGATCAGGATCGGCGGCAGATCCTCTCTTAGTCTGTGATCTTGGCTCAACATACTCAACCTGCACTGTACGTCTCTTCGCATCCGATACCGGCTTAGATTGGGCGGCCTGAGGCACATTTTCGTGAGCGTGGTGCCTTGGGCCAAGCCCACCGAGAGATGTTGGGTGCGGGTGGCTATTTGTCGATGAAGGTTCGCGAACGGAGGCGGAGCGCACGAGAGATGGCCCATCTAAAGTAGGTTCTATGAATGAGATTTCATATAAGTATTTACTGGACTCAGGGACCCAAATAGCAATAGCCTACCGTTAATTGTCACATGCTCGACCTCCTTAACTCCTGTAGTAGAGCTAGTTATCAGGCTCACAACATTAGCAAATGGGCTAAGCCAGCTGTGACGAGCAACCTCGAAAAGATCAGCCCTTTTCCTCGGTTCCGGCACAAGCATTCGTCTTAGCAGATCTCTAGCATGAGGGCTAACATATTCCGGGAACGTCAATGGTGTTGATACGATGTACTTGTAAAGTAGATTGATGTTATCACCCTCGGGATTGGCCGGGTCATCGTCGAAAGGAAGATATCCCGCGAGCATTGCATACTTCAATTCCTAAAGTCAGCAATCAACCCTCTGAAGCGAGACAAGAGCTTACCAAAATAACACCGCATGACCACACGTCAACTTTTCTACCGGTATATAGACCGTCACTAACGACCAACTCAGGGGCAGCGTAGCAAGGGCTTCCGCAACTTGTCGCCATTAAATCGCCTCTCCTCCTCACTTGGCCAGGTCCTAAAATACTTAATAGACTGCCCTCTTCACTGCCACTATTAGGTATACCCTTCTCAAGCTCTTTTAGTATCTCAGGATCCTCCAGCTTGTCTTCCAGCTCACCAAGCTCATCCCTAGGATCAAAAACATTGGCAAAGCCGAAATCAGTAATGATGATGTTCCGATTCCTATCTAAAAGCAGATTTTCCAATTTCAAATCGCGATGGACAATCCCTTTCTTATGCAAGTACCCAACACCAGAGACAAGCTGCGCAAACAAGCGACAAGCAGGGGGGTCTTTAAGGAAACGGTGATTGAGGATGTAGTCGAATAGTTCACCGCCAGAGGCATACTCAAGAATAATACCAATATGGCGATCTGTCTCAACCATCTCGTGGAGTCGGACAATGTTAGGGTGAGATAGAGTACGCAGAATGGAAATTTCGCGGTGGATTTTAGATAACCTATTTGGGTGCGGCGAAAGGGAATCGCGACGAATGAGTTTGATAGCAACCTTGATGTGCACAAGTCAGTATTAAAATTGTGTTGCTGGCCAATACCTGTCCAGATACGTGCATGACATCGCAGAAATGAATCGAGACCGGATATGCCAAAAAAAAAAAAAAAACCGAAGAGCTTACCTGTACACCCCCATCTCTTCTCCATCCGAGTTTGACTTTGCCGAACTCTCCTTCACCGAGTGTCTGGCCCAATATATATTCACCAAACCTGGTTTCCTTCCTAGTGCCCGCAGGACGTGTCCCATTACCATCCGGATTAACAACTGCTAAGCCACCATTACCACTCTGTTCCCTTCTGCTCCTGCTCTGGCCGCTGGTGCTGGCACCGGCCCCATCAACCGCATCTTGGCGTCTCCTTGTGCTAGGAGATCTGTCCACAGGCTGTTGGCTACCGCTGCTGCTACCGGCTACATTCCGCGAAGAATCACGGGTGGAATTGGACCTGCCGACCGTGGCAGCAGAAGGAGGTTGGTCGCGTCGCGGTTTGTTCTCCTCGGCACGTCGACGATCTCTCTCCCTATCTCTATCCGTTTTCTCTCGTTCTCGGCCATCTGTGCTTTGACCGCGCGTACGACCACTAGAAGACTTACTCCTCTCGGTTGATGCGGGGACCTGAGAAGCAGCTGGAGGTGAGGTCACAGCCGGCCCCTGACGCTGACTGCTTGTTCTCGGTGGTGGGGGGATTGGTGGGCCTCCTGGACTTACAGAACCCGAATACCCATGTGATAACTGCGAAGGATTAACAGGAGATGACTCCACAGTCGTGTGAACAGTAGGGGATAATCCAGTGTACGTAGTAGGTCGAGGATGGGATGGCCTGCCAGCTCTGGGTGGTGACGGGTTTGAAGGAGCCGGAACGGACTGGGAAGCAATAGCTGAAGACATTTTGGGCTGCCGTGTAAAATTATCGTGGGTGACAAGAGTCCGTTGAGAGGGCTCTACGGAAGGCTGAGAACTGCAATGTGAGGTAACGAGAATTGTCGATTCAACCTTCGTCTTCGACCGGGGTGATTGCGAGCCGGTCGAGGAGGGGGCGTGTGTAGAGGGGGGGGGGGCGGGGGAGGGTAGAAGGCGGAAAGCAACGTTGGCAGACAGTTTGACGAATTTTTCGAGTTGATTGTGACGAAGATCGATGGATTTGTTTACCGGAGCACAACGCCAACGGAAGAGACACAACGACGACGACGATGCGTGACAATAGTAATCCTCCCAGGGTATGCGACACACCAACTGCAACCACTCGGACAATAGAATTAACCGGATCCTGGAATGAAAAGAGGAAAAAATAATTGAAAGGGCCCTCTTTTTTTTCTCTCCCCTCCGCTCTGGATATTGATGTTCAGTTCGTTCAGTCCCTCTCTCTGAGGACAAGACCAGCGTGTGGTGTGCGTGGATGTGGGTGGGCGTGAGTACGGTATGTATTTTCAGAGGAGAGAACCCACGCAAAGCGACAGCAGCAGGCGTTCGACAATGGGTGACGGAAGACTGCTGTGGGGCCAGGGGTGGTGGGTTGTTTGGAGGAGGTTGCTGTTCAGAGAGAAGGGAGTAGTGGTATTGCCCGGAGAGTGGAAAAGGGGGTCTCCGCCCGGCGCGGCGAGTTCGGTGGAGGTGTGGTGTGGCTTGCCTGCGAATAACGCGACCTCCCGTCTCGGGCCAGGAAGCTTGGGGGGAAGGGGGAAGGGGGAAACGGTAACTTGATGGGTGATTGATGGCCCAGTCCAGTAGATAATAAATTCAGCTCAAGACCCTTACTGAAGCTCTCTCTGCTTCGGGTGGGCAGAAAAAAGAGGGCAGAAGGATACCGTAGTAGCAGAACGACAGTCAGCAACCAGTCGAGCAGTTCGGTCGATCAGTCAGTCAGTGTGCGTGTGTCTCCTATGCAATGATGCTTCTTCCTTCAGCCCCTTCTCCTCATCACTTTTCGTTAGTGCTGAGTGTATGGTAGGTAGTTAGAATAGGCACGTATGATATCTCACCTCCTATGATATCCTTCGTTGATAAAAAAAAGTTTGTTAGCGAAAAGGAACCGAATTACACTGACGGTCCCGGTTCATGATAAAACTTACACGCACGCACGCACCGCATGATACTGATGATACTGGTCCAGGGTGTCTTATTCTTGAGATCGACTTCCCCCGAGCAGGCGGGGAAAGGAAGGAATAGCCAGCACCGCTTCTTCTTCTTCTTTTTTTTTTTTTTTTTTTGCTTGATAGTTTTATGTATGAATTGCTGCTTTAACCATTCCACCTTCCATGTCCCTCCTCGATCCCTCCATTCACCCACCACCCGCCCGGAGAGAGAAAAATGCTTTCTATTTTTCCTCCTGCGTTGAGGCGGTTTAAAGATTCGGGGTCGCTTGACGGCAGACTGGGATTGGTGCTGCAGCAGCGTTCACGTTTCGGATCTGCCCCAATCGCCAGCAAACACTTTTTTTCCTCTCCGTCGTGCAACCAGTAGAGGGGAAATTCTGGCCGTCTAGCTTACAACCCTTTTCTTCCCCACGCTTCCTCCAAATTAGAGAGGAAGGGCTACCGGTATTGCGACACTCTCCTCCCCTGTTGGATCTCACTTACCGCTCTTCCCTCGACTCGAGTATCTCGTTTGTTTATCGCATTGTTTGTTTGTTGCCCCAACCACGCAACTCTTCTGCTGTTTATTTGACACGTACCTTCTCGCCTCCTTACCCTCTCACTCGCTCAGTCGGAGCCAGTCCACGACAGGCACCTTTTGAAAGGGGAAAGGGAAGAAGAGAAAAAATCAATTTGTGGGAGAAATTTCCAAAATAGGAATCCATGCACCCAAAATTAAAGGGCCATCCCTCGTGCATCCTATCCTAGCTAGTGCATGGCGGAACGGTGAGACAGACCAACCCCCCTTTGGCTTGGCAAGACAAAATTTCTTACAATTTCTTACTCCCGCCTACTTGAACGAGCAGAACGCCCATCGAATCCCGCCAGTCTACTTGTACTCGAGTACTCGTACAGTACGGTACCTTTTCAATCAGGTACCCTTTTGCTACTCGAGTACCATAACCCATATCGTACCCGCGTGCCTCAACCAAAAAAGCAGGGCGCAAGGAACACAAGAAGAAGTAAAAAAGGATCCTCGATCTTGTCCCTGTTGCCCGAAGATCAAAAAAACAAAAAAAGAAAGAGAGGGGTGGGGCTTACAAGATTACGGTAATAGATCGTACATGTGGACTTTGTCTCCACGATATATGGATACAGATCTGAACTACTGGGCGTACCGTACAGTGCAACTCTGTGCGAGGGCTAAGTTACCCCACTGCACCCTATTCAATGCAAAAAAGTACTCGAGTAGCCAGGCAAGCCCAGGTTACTGTGGTCTCCAGTGCCTACTGTGCGGTACGGTACTCTAATTGTACGCTACGGTACTCTATGCACCGCATCCGTGCTCGAGCACTCCCACCGTCTTATGCCAACCACTGGCATCCGACCTCATTCTTGCTACTTGTACCGAACGCCACAGCAGACCTTCCTCGACGGTTACGGTATGCAATGGAGAAAAAACGCACCCCCGTTTTAAGGTACAAGTATCGTACGCAATTAGTCTGGGAAAAAACAGGCTCAACTGATGTTGCACAAGTAGGGTGTGCAGTGCACTTCCTAAAGCCAACCAACAAGCACCTCGCAGTCATGTCTTGGTATAGTGCCGTTACGATTGTCCTTGTTCGACTTCTTGCCGAACGGTTGGCGGTGTCAAACTCGTCGTGGAGGATAAGTTCGCACGGCACTCACCAGTGACTTACAATATCATACCTAATATGGCACCCGCGAAATCACTCTGTTCCTGCCAAAAGGAAATTTTGGGGTTTTTCTTACATACGGTACTTGTAGAAGCAAAGCCCCCGAGTGCAACTGTGTACCGGCACGCACCCAACGGGTCACCGTGACCTGCAAGTATCATATTGTACAGCGGAGGGTACAAGTATGGTGTGGTGTCAGGGCACACCGACCCCAAAAGAGCATCAACATGCAAACCCATCTTGTTTTAAGCTCGCTCGGGACCTATTCCCCGTACCATACCACATTCGGATCAAGTAATCCTACACAGACGTACCATTGGGCCAAGGTGCTTACCAGTACCGTATTATAAAGTACTCCAATATCATCACCTAATTCTTGGAGTCCCAAAACGACTCATCACCCAAGTCGTACAAAAACCCCCAAGTCAAAATGACTAAGGAACTACCCAGCAGCATTCCCTTGCAAAACCACTGCATGCATTTCGCTTCGAATGTTTCTAACCGATTATTCGGGGGCTGCTGCCGCATTGGTAAGTTCGGGTTGAGCCATTTCCTGAGGTGCAGTGTGCGGAACCCGAGGTTGGACACGGTGCCGGTGTTGTATTGTACATTATATATATATATAAATATATATCTTCGGCCTTGACTCCGCTTGTTTATAGTAGGACGGGCGCACGGCCTCACCCTGTCTACCTTCCCCGCATCTGTATCGTATATAGTATCCAGTCGTGAAGTGGGGCTCGTGACAAGCAAACGGATGCTGACATGCTCCTCCCCCAAACAAGAACTTACCATGGCCCTGCGCCACACCTTTAACTTCCATCTATGATAGGCATACTATACTCGAGCACTACAGTGCTTTCTCCCAAGCTAATTCACTACCGCTACCGTACTTCGACTTGCCTGCAGTTTCCCAAGCAGACCCTTACCCTTGGGACGTTCTGAATCCTACTGCCATACTGTGTTGTGCCCGAGATATGGCATCATGACTCGCACACAAGCCTCACATCCAGCACACAGCCACCGAAGACAAAATCCTATGGTCGAGCTCTTCTCCCCCGCCAAAAGTCTTTTACCCTCTATGAGCGCAGCAACCTGTGGCTGCCGCGCGAGCCGATCGGGTGCTGCGCTGTCCGGTACACTACAAGCACCCGTAGTGTCGAAGCGGTTTCAAAAAGGATTATTGCGCACCACCCGAACCCAGGCAGAAAGGCCAAATTTCGGTTGGATGTATGCAATAGCAACCCTCTTTGAAAATACAATGCCAACTTCTTGCTACGAGCAAATCTACCGGTACTTATTTCCCCCGTCAAACTCGGCACGGCACAGATAGCATACCGGTATTCCATGAAGGAGGGGATGGGAGTGAGCGACTCAGCAAGCGGGAGAAATGGAAGGGTGGAAAACTCTCGGAATGCCCCCACGAATAGCGACGAGGGTCAAATGCGCCCCACACAACTAGAACATCGTCTTCGGGCTTGTCCGCATAGGCACAGTGGGAGTACAAGTACCGTACGGTAGTCTACTTTCGCACGGCATCGCAATCACTCACTCCCCCTGGCCGATCCCATTTTGAGAGGAGAGGCAGCCTCCAGAGGACTAACGCCACCGCTTGTCAAACCCAACAAATGTCGTCTGCCCCGGGCTCTGGCCGACACTCAGTAACAACTGCATTACACTCCGCTGGAAGGAATGGCATTCAATTTCCATTATCTCCCAGTGCTACATGAAATACAAGGACAGTACCGGTACAGTACTGTCCCGATCACTTAAGGATACTTCACTTGTGGGTCATAACTCTCGTGAGAATTTTCCTTTGCCTTGCTTGAAAGGAACGGTGCTATTCGCAACATCTACTGTACGAGTACGGTACTTGCATGAGAACTCTTAGACGCAGTGGTTTCAGGGGCTAATTGATGCGCAGGAGGCAATCAAGAAGTGAATTTTTCGGCCGCCTCGGGGGAAAAAACAACCCTTCTTGGTCCTGGGGGGCATTGCACTGCAGTCGTGAGGGGCATATTACATGTGTGCCTATCCAAGGGGGCATTTTGAGAGTTTTCCGGAGGATAAATCTGCGATGCGCCCGCTCACCACTCACCCAAACCAAGCAAGCAGGGAC